TGAGACCAGCCTGAGCAACATGAGGAGATCCATCTCTATAAAAATTTTTTAAATTAGCTGAGTGTGGTGGCACATACCTTTGGTCCCAGCTACTCAGGAGGCTGAGGTAGAAGGATTGCTTGAGCCCAGGAGGTCGAGACTGCACTGAGCCGTGATCAAGCCACTGCACTCCAGCCTGTGCAACAGAGCAAGATCCCATCTCAAGAAGAAAATAAAAAAGCACTTAAACTGACATGTGAAAGTAATCTCATTATAAACTGGAAATAGAAATGAGTCACATGAGTGACAAATTTTTATTTTTACTCTCAATTGTCAATGTTACCAAGTTATTTTCTTGAAAAAAAGTTTCATTTTGTGCATGCGTAAACAATTTAATGGGCCAATCTTGCAGAGTACTTCCCTCTCCATTCTGAAAAATACATAACACAAAGTGCTCAAAAAGTATCCAGCAAATTAATACATGTGAAAGATGGTGCTAGACACCTAGGAATTATGTACCAATCCCGGAATTCATACTCAAGCTGCCCTGATTTCCAACACCTCTGTTCCCGAGAATGACAACTCTCTTTACCCAGGTGTCCCAGCATTTCATGGCTGCAGCAGGGATCTCTGTGCTATCTTCAGGGAAAACAAGCCCTGGAAATAGGTGAATAAGGAATTCCAGACTATGTGGTCATAAAACAAATCTCTTCCCTAGATTTAAGTTCCTATTCTTTTCTGCAAAGAACAAATTTATAACTGCAGGGTATCTGATGATTTTGTTGTCTAATGCGTAAAAGCACAAGCCCTGGAGTGAGGCCAGTCTTCACTAAAACACCAGGATCACCATGTAAGTTTCGTGATGAAGCCTGCTATGTAACTACTCTGAATCTGTTTCCTCACCTGTGTAAAAATGCCAATAGTAATATTACCAGCCTCAACAGGCGGCTGTGAAGATTTTTATTATTCGCTATATTGAGAGAAAGGGTGCTTAACTATAAGCAGCTGCCCAGGGGATTCTTGTTCTCTGGGAAGGCAGCTCAGGGATCAGGCCCTTAGGCAGTAATTAAGAGAGCACGAAAAGTAAGACTATAGCAGGTGTGGTGGGAAGAGGCACGGGGGAGAGCAGTTGGATATTTACTGGGAGCCAAAATGAGGCTAAGAACTGCCTCTCCTCCTTATGAATATAACTTTTTTAAAGAGAAACAAAACATTTATTTCAAATTTTCTCTGGTATGAAGACATATATTCAGCGAAAAATTGTAGGATTCTAAAGTCCCCTCAAGCATCCAGGAGGCACGACTTATACTTCATTCATTGCCAACCAGATGTCTTTCCTCCGTGCCTTGCTAGAGGACTCTGAACAGCACAAAGTCCAACAGAGAGCAAAGGGTAAACAACAGAAAGACCCTGACAGTAAGTCAGTCAACAAACAAGGAATGAGTATCTGCTATGCACCATACTCCGTGTTAGGGGTGATAAACCAACATGGGCCCCTGCCCTCATGAAGTGTATATTTCTAGGTAATAGTTCCTTGGTGCCAATCTGGGGACCTGCAACAGCAGAATCACCTGTGTTAAAAATGTAGCGTCCTCAGAATCTGAACACAGACCCCACCCGTAACCTAATGAATCAGACATTCTAGGAGGCAGAGGATACAGGAGGCTATATTTTTAAGCAGTGCCCTCTGGTGATTCTGAGAAACACCGAGATTTGGAGAACTACCATTAGTGTTTCTCAAAGAGAGTGGTCTTTTGATCACCTGCATCAAACTCAGCTTTCTAAGAGCACAGCACAGGTATGTGTGTTTTCAGCGTACCCCAAGGTTTGCGAAGCATTATGCTTGACTGTCTTTCTCTTACACCTCTTCCTTCCTATTAAATGATAGGTGTGTGAAAGTGCAGTGTCAATTGCAAAGCGTGATATAAAGTTAGTTGGGTATAGTTCCTAGGACCTTTCCATAAACTGAGGAAGTCCAGCATATACAAGTAACTGAAGTCAGTGTGGAATACAATGAGGCATTCCTCAGAGCTCAACAGGTCTCTGACAGAATCTTCAAAGTTCTTCTTATAGCAGATAAGGCTGCTAAATCAGTGCTGTTACTTCAAAAGAAGGTCCTTCTGCCTCTGGCCCCTGGAGCGGAGCTGGGGTGACTGAGCAGTTACATGCTTGGGTGGCATACTCTCCGAAGGTCCCTAGAGTATATGCCCTCAGGTGGGCCTTTTATAACGGTCTAATACTAGCAGAACCTTTTATATTGTGACAGAAATATTTGTTAGGTGGACCCATTGAGAGCATACTAATATGCCATGGTAATATAGCCCTTAAACATTTAGCTTTCTCAACAGACCATGACATACAAATTCAGGATGCGGGATTAGGATGAAGAAGAAACCGGATGGATAGGAGGGGACAGACAGGTGGTTAGAGAAGACACTAAATTCCCATTTTAGATGTGATGAATGACAGGCGCTGATACGGTTTGGCTTTGTGTCCCCACAGAAATTGTAATCCCACGCAAGGAGGTGTTTGGATCATGGGGTTAGTTTCCACCATGCTGTTCCCATGATACTGAGTGAGTTCTCAAGAGATCTGATGGTTTTGTAGGGGGCTCTTCGCTTCCTACATGCTCTCTCTCACCTGCTGCCATGTAAGATGTACCTGCTTCCCCTTATGCCACGATGGTACGTTTCCTGAGGCTTCCCCAGCCATGCAGAACTGTGAGCCAATGAAACCTTTTTCTCTTTAAATTACCCAGTCTCAGGCAGTTCTTTACAGCAGCATGAGAACGGTCTAATACTAGTGCCTTTGGAATATCCAGGTGGGGTTGCCATATATGGCTGCAAATCAAGAGAGCGGAGGTCAGAAGGTTAAGTAAGACCAATGACAGAGACATAGCAGGCTTCAGCTAGAAGGGGCAGGCAGTCTGCATGATGAGAAAATAGAGGAAGAAAAACTCAGCATATGGGGAAACATGTAAAGCAAAAGGAGAGAGTGCAGTCAAATGGCCTAAAACAGAGGGACCAAAGAGGGAAGGGGTGACTCCTAAAAGCAGAGGGCTGAAAAGCCAAAAGGAGGTTAACGTTTCAAGGAAGATGAATCGCCAGTGTCGGAAACCACAGAGCAGTGAGTAAGGACAGGAACGGGACAGGCCCTGGGATTCACGATCTGCGTCACTGGTGACACATCCAAGAGCAACAGACTAGGGGGATGTGGAACTATTTCCTTCACGGTTTTGGCCAGCGTGCTTACTAATAAATCTCATTCCCTTCAGAGCTCTGATCTGATTGTTTTCTGTGAAGGATTCTCAGTTACATGGATGTTATCGTTGAACATTAAATACTTTGCTTTCCAAACGGCTGCTTCTTTAAAAATCGAAATTTAGCTGGATGTGTCCTCACTGGTCTTCCCCAGCCTTCTACCCACTCTCACCCTCCCCCCACTCTCCCTCCCTCCCAAGGGCACTGGAGCATGATTTTTCAGAGATTGTGGTAAACTTCTGCCACATTCGAAGAAAATTTAGTTAGTAATGTGAATGGAAAGGATTTAGGAAGTGGGTGCGAAAAAAGTCTCCTCTCACGTTGGAAATACAGTTCTCTCCCTTTCAAAATAAATATAAGTATTTACATTTCAAAGTTAAATATAACTAGAGGGTAGTCGTACTCATAGCGCAGCATGACAGGAAAGGTGTGGGCTTTGGCGTTAAACCAACCTAAAGGCTTGAGTCTCGCTGGGCGTGGTGGTTCACACCTGTAATCCCAGCACTTTGGGAGGCCGAGGCGGGTAGATCACGAGGTCAGCAGTTCAAGACCAGCCTGGTCAAGATGGTGAAACCCTGTCTCTACTAAAAATACAAAAATTACCTGGGCGTGGTGACGGGCGCCCGTAATCCCAGCTACTTGGGAGCCCGAGGCAGGAGAATCGCTTGAACCCGGGAGGTAGAGGTTGTAGTGAGCTGAGATTACGCCACTACTCTACAGTCTGGGCGACAGAGTGAGACTCCATCTCCCCACCAAAAAAAAGAAAAAAAAGACTGAGTCTCAGCTGTTGCGCATTCCACGCTTGCAAAGAAGGGTAATCACTTGTAGGGTGCTGAACTTGGAAGAGCTGAACTAAATAACACATGGAAAGAGTCGATCACAGGGCTTTGTGGAAAGTAGGAGGGCAGTATAAGGTAGCAGTGGGTATTAGCATTGGCTATTGTTTACTCATCCTATACGCTGCTAATTCAGAAAACTTCAGTAACTTTCCAAATAATTTGGGCAGGAAAACCTCACCAACTTTCATCTAGAAATATCTAATCATTTCTTTGAACTCACATTCACCCAAGAGGGCACAACTCCAACCAACATGAAAAGCAGGTCTTGTGAAAGCCCACTTGGTGCCATCTCCCAGCCATTGTTTTGACTTCAGACCGGTGAGCATCGTGCATTAGAAGGTGGTGTTACGTAACATGTCCAAGGAAATCTACACATAGCACTTTTGCCCCAGTAATGTTGAAGCCATATTCTGACAGCGTGACTCCGATGCCCATTTGGCAGGCTTTGAGCAAAGAATTAAGGCGAGGGTGGAGAGGGTGGGTAGGGTGGGGACAGACAGAGTGAGAAGAAAGGCGGGCGAAGGCACCGCCCGTAAGGGGGCAGCCAGCTAATGAAGCCTCTGCAGTTATGGCCAGATCAGTTTTTTAAAACAATTCCATTTCTTCCCCGCCCTTTGGTCACTTCCCAACGCCCGCTGGGCAGTCACATGCTAAGCCCCAAAGTGAACAACAGACACCCTCGTCCCAGGTCCCCGGCTGGCAGAAGCGGACCCTGGCTGAGGGAGCGGCCCTCCCACTGCCTGCGGAGGAGCCCCTTCGCCGCCCTAGTCTCCCGCCCGGGGCGAAGTCCTCCAGGCCCGCGGGGGCGCCCGCAGGCTCCGCCCCCTCCTCGGTGCGCGGCCCGCACGCCCCGCCCCTGCTCCGTCCATCGCGCGGCGGCCCCTGGGGCGAGAGTGGGAGGAGCGCGGAGGCGGCTGCTGGAACCGCGCGGCGTCCGGGAGCGGGACCCGCAGCTTGAGTCTGGAGCGCCGGTCGCGGGAGCCCCACTGTGCAGCCGGAGGTGAGTACCGCCGGGGCCGACTCACGTCCCCAGACGGAGCGCCGCCCACCCTGTGCTCCTCGGGAGTCGGTGCGGGCCTTTACCGCGGTGCCCGAGGCAGAGCGGCCCCGGGAACGCGGAGGCGAGCTTGGGGAGGATTGGGGACGCGTTTCTGGCGACTCACGTCTCCGCCATGTCCCCATTCTGTGTCAACCCGGGGAGAGGGATTGGAAGTGGCTTTTCTATACCCTCTTAGCCTTGGCTGTGCGTCCTGTCCTGGAAGTCCTTGCCTAGGGTGTACGGCTGGCCCTGGGAATCCTAACCCCGAGGGTGTGAGGCCCGCACTGAGGGTCCTCGCCCAGGCCCGGCTGGCTGGGTAGGGAAATCCTTGCTAAAGTTGTGCGGGCAGATCCGGGAATCAACTCCAAGGGGCAAACGGAAAATGGGGTGAAGGGTAAGAGACCCTTCGGTGGGAGGATTGAACACAGAGCCCACCCTGATTGATTCGGAGATCCAGAAAGGAGCTAGGGCTGCAGTTAGGACCAAGTCATTTTTTTCCACATTCAGCTAGCACATCATAATGGCATCTACCTTCTTGCAACACACATAACTCTCTTCCGCGGGGGACAACCTCTAGGGCAGAAGTCCCCAAACTTTTTTGGAACTCAGTACCCCTTTACGCTCTTAAAAATTAGTGTCTTAAGGAGCTTTTATGTGAGCTATATCTATCCATATTTGTACTCTATTTAATAATTAATTTAAAAAGAATAGTAAATAGCTATATCTTAACATTGCCTGTTTTTATGAAAAAGAACTATATTTTCCAAAACAGAAAATTATTGAGAAGAATGGCATTGCTTTACATTTTTGCACATCTCTTCGATGTCAAGCATAATTGAAGACAGCTGGATTCCGATAGCTGCTTCTGCAGTCTGTTGCATTATCACATATCATGTAGCCTCTTGAGATCTCCACTGTATACTCCTGAAAATGTGTGAGTGAAAAAAAGTAACATTTGATTACTATGAAAGTGGTTTTGACCTTGTGCATCCCTAGGCGTTCTCTGCACCACACTTTGAGGATGCTAGTGTAGGAAATGCTTTAGAGGCTTCATTCATTGGACCTGCTTCCTTTTCCTCTGAATGGGAACACACACCACCCCGTGCCATGGATAGTATTAACCTCTGGTATCTGGAACCAAATTTGATCTCACTTTGGAAACCAAGTACTAGGTCCCCACGTGAAGCTGTGATGAACCTTGATAGCCTCCTGAAAAGGCAGCAAGGCTTCACACCTGCCTTTGGTTGTTTCTGTGCCTGCAGAGCGGACCATCAGGATTACAACAGTGATGATGCAAACAGGACCTATGGACTCAGAGAAGTGTCAATGGGGAAACTGTGCCAAGTGTGTAGGGGTTCGTGTGAGAGTTACCAAGTAGTCAGGATGTTATTTCCAAAAGAACAGGGAGGCATGCTTTTGCCTTCCCTTTCACGTGTTCATTTCTGTTTGCAGTTGCGAGGCTATTAGCCTTAGGTTTATTGAAATAATGATTCCCAGTGTTGATGTTCTTTCACTTTTCACATTCAGAGGTGTGTCACTCTGAGTGATGATTCCTCAGCCCCTGTCAAAAAGCAGTTTCCACCATCCTGGAGTGTAGTAGGTGAGATCCTTCACAGGAACCTTTCCTTAGCTTCGTGCTTTGTCCGAACGAGTTCAAGACAGATGGTACGCATATATACATGGAAAGAAGAAATTTTCTAAGTCCATCCTCCCTTTTGTTCCTTCATCCATAGAGCCTCTTGTGCTCTGATGGATCAGTTTAAATGCTACAGCGGCTATTTGAGAAATGTTGCATGCACGTGAGCATGTTGTGTGTGTTGCACAGTGCACAGATGGGAGAAGGAAATGGGATCTAAACTCTGAGCACCTGCTGTGTTCTTTGTATTAAAAAATTCCACTTTGTTGGTGGGGTCTCATTCCTTCATTCTTTCAGTAGATTTTTATTGGCCACCTATTTCTTATGTGTCCATTTATGTGCTGGATGTCAGGAAAGTAGAGAGCACAACAGATGCAGTCCTAGTCTTTCTGGAAATTATGGTCTGATAGCTTAAATAACTGCCAGTTAATTGAGATCGTTCATTGACAGATGGTTTACATGAAAGCTGGTCCTGTGTGAAGAATACCCCCTACCTAAAGTGTGCTTCAAAGGCATGTGCTGAGGAAACCAGAGTCCTACAGTGTGAAAATGTTGGTAAAAACCAACACGTATCACCATGTGCCTGGCAAAGAACTTCCTTTGCCTTCTTTCCCCTACTCTTCCTTCTGCATAGGAAGTAATTCCCTGTGAGGCTGCCAGACTCACAGGGAAACTACCTCCAGTTGGTTCAAGCCAGTGGGTATGACACACCTTCTCTAGGTCTCAGTGTCTTTGACTTTGAAGTTAAGCTATTGATAGTAAGTATCCTAAGGAGCCAGTGGTTTCAGATCTGGTTTATAGTAGCAGTTGTGCTTATCTCTTCCTAACTCCGTGTTCAGTGGCAACACATTTTTTTAGATTGAAATAAGCCATGGTGGGAATAGTTAAGCCATGGAAATCAGCAAATGCTACATCACAGATTTTTTCCTCCTGGAGTTCAGGTGTTTAAACCTTTGCCAGCTGACACTGCTGTTGTCAGAGCCAAAGTGCTTTTGGTTTGTCTTTTTTTTTTTTTCTTTTTAAATTTTTTGCAGGTCTCGAATCTGTACCATCGACTCCTTTCTGATAGATAAGGTTACCGGAAGCCCTCACTGCAACCTCCGCCTCTGGGATTCAAGGAATTTTTCTTCCTCAGCCTCCCGAGTAGCTGGGACTAAAGGTGTACGCCACCATGCCCGGCTAATTTTTTTTTTTTGTCTTTTAGTAGAAAATGGACTCTTTAGCCTAGACAAAGATTCTAGATATATATGATTCAGGTCCTCTAAAATTTTTGATAAAGAAAAACATCTGTTTTCATCATATTCTAAAATACAGATCAGCAAACTTTTTGTGTAAAGGGATAGGTAGTGAAGTATTTTAGGCTTTTTGGGTTATGGTTATTCAGTTTCTATTGCAGCTACTTAGCTCTGCTGTTGAAGCATGAAAGTAGCAATAGACATTATACAAACAAATGAGCATGGCTGTGTTCCAGTAAAACTTGATTTACAGAAACAAGTGCTGACCATACTTGGCAGACCCCTGATCTAGACTATCTGGACAAGAACCATCCTTCAAAGAGATAGTTTTGTGGAAAAGGAGATTCTCCAGGACTTTATGCGTGAATACCAGGAACTCGAGTCTCCAAGATGGATATAGCTGGCAGTAGTAACTGCAAAGGATTTGGAATCAGTCATAGAAGAATCCATTGTAGGTTGTTTAAAAGAAGGCTAAGTGTGTTCAAGTTTTGAGGACAGAGTCACATACGGGCCTTATTCCTAATTCCCTCCCTGGAGCCATCTCAGATGTTATGCTGGGATGGATGGGCCTGCAGTCTAACCTATTGTGTAAATTTTGTGTGTTCTTATGCAAAAACTAGTAGCACCTCTAGGAGCTGTCTTGATTCCAGGGGCAGAGACAAAGGAAATGTTAAAAAAGGCTGGAAAGGCCAGGCATGGTGACACACACCTGTAATCCCAGCAGTTTGAGAAGCCAGATTGCTTGACCCCGGAGTTCAAGACCAACCTGGGCAACATGGCGAAATCTCATCTCTACCAAAAATACAGGAAAAAAAAAAAGAATAGCCAGATGTGGTGTCATGTATGTGTAATCCCAGCTACTTGGGAGGCAGAGGCAGGAAGATAACCTGGCAGGTCCAGTCTGCGGTCAGCCACAATAGCATCATGGCACTCCAGCCTGGGCAATAGAGTAAGACCCTGTCTCAAAAAAAAAAAAAATCCTCATTATATATGCATATTGTACATTGTAGAGTACACTGTGTGTGTATACCTGTATGTATGCATATTTGTACATCTCTGTGTACATAAGTTGTGTACATGTGTCATATACTCCATTCCATGTATTTAAAGAAGTGTCAGGAATGTGTAGAAGACAGACCAGTAACCAGTTATGGGCAGTAGAATGAGGTAGAAAGAAGGCAGGGAACTTTTATTACTTTTCGTGATACCAGATGTGTGTTTATTTTGTGAGGAAGGATATCCCGTAGCATATTCATATATTGCTTTTACAACTTAAAAACAAAAACCTAAAACCACAACAGCCTATACTTTTGAAAGGAAAATGGAGTTATTTCTGTGATAGGAAAGTTGCCACCATCCTTCTCCCCCAATAAAAATAATTACTTTATCATATCACAGCTCTGAACTTGTATATATATTGGTATATATTAACAAAATAATATTGAGAGAGAGCATCTCAAGTCAAAACATTTTATTTAACAGTATTAATGTTTGACTCTTGTCCAGGGTTAAGAAATACTAGGTCAAAGTGTTCCTTAGTGAGCTATTATCCAGCCTTTACACTGGTGTTATAAAATGCTCTTGTACAGTTTTTAAACTAAAAAGCATGTTACACAGCAGTATTTCCCTGTGAGTCTACATTTCTGAGAAGAGAAATCATGTGCATATATGTATGAATTTGCCCTTGCAAGTCCAAAGGCAGCGGATATGCCAGAACATTAAGTGCTTTTCTCTTGGTAGTGGAGCACAGTTGCTTTTTAGATTTTCTTCACTTTAGCTTATCGGGCTTTTCAAGCATGAATAAAGATTACATTTGACATTACCAAATGAACTCCTGCAGTGTGTTTACACCTGGTATGTTGAGGACAGTTCTTCCATCTTTCTTAGACTGTCTTACCACCAGCTTACCTGGTAGCAGACCCCAGCTACTCTCTCCCAGTGAGAAGTGTGAGGAGTGTGAGGCATGGGAAACCGAAAAACAGGCACAGTGGCCATGTAATCACATTGTTCTGTGTCTGCTTCTCCTGAAGAGTCTGTCTGACCTCGGCCCCGCCCTCTCTCTTCAGTTGACTAGCACTATCATCAGCTGA